CACAGGGGGGCAGGTCCTTGGCCAGGAAGAGAGGGATGGCACCTAGCAGTCTCTGTGCTCTCCTTCCCTCACTTTTCTTTCTCTCTTTTTTCCTTTCTTTCTTCTTTCCCTCCCTCTTCTGTCTCTCTCTCTCTCCCTCTCTCTCCCTCTCTCTCTTCCTCTCTCTCTCTCCTCTCTCTCTTTTTTTCTTTCATGGCACTGCGTTTGAACTCAGGGCCTCACACTTGCTAGACAGGTGCTCTACCACTTGAGCCACTCCACCAGCCCTTTTTTTGTAATGGGTTTTTTCAAGATAGGGTCTCATGAACTATTTGTCTGGGCTGGCTTCAAACTGCAATCCTCCTGATCTCTGCTTCTTGAGTAGCTATGATTACAGGCATGAGCCACTGGCACCCAGCTCCCTCACCCCTTTCTTTGGGAGGAAGATGGGGAAGTAATAAAGCTTGTCTGTCACTCAGAGAACCAGAAGAACCATTTTCATTTCAGTTTCCTCAGAAGATCAAGGAATCCTGCAAGATTCTGGAGGAGGCCTTGAAGCTGAATGGGCAGATCAGCAGACAAGAGATACAGAGCCCAAGGCAGGGCTGTGAGCAGAGGGTAGCAGGGCTGATCTCCTGGGGCCTGGTTAGCAGGAATCAGGAGCTTAGACTTCATGCTAAGTAAGAGCCATGAGGAGCCATGAAAGGTTTAATAGATAGGAGTGACACACAAGTGGATTTTTTAAACCTCCCTTTGTCATACAGAGAAAGAAGTGCGAGGTGGACAGAAGACAGAAAGGCCAGGCATAGGCCTGGGCAGAGATGGTGAGGGCCTGGACGGGTACTAGGGTTTCAGAGACAGAGGAAAGTAGGCTAGTTAGAAATTAATTAGGGATGAATGCAGTCACAACTGCTGACTGGCCTCTCTGTTTCCACCTTTGCCCCTTACTGTCAGTTCTCCATACGGCAGCCAGAGAGATTCTGGTTAAAACATAAGTCCAGGTCATGTTACTCTTCAGGCTTCCCATCTCAGGGTAAAAGCCAAAGTCCTTACAAAGGCGTCAACATTGTTCTCCTTCCCACTCCCAATCTTTCCGACCTCATCTACTGCTTCTAGCCACCTCACTTGCCCCACTCCAGCCATTTCTCAATGTTCCTGGAACACAGTAAGCACAGACTTCCTTCCTCAGCCTTGTCCAGGACTTTGCATGTTTTGTTCCCTCTGCCTGGAATGCAATTTCCTCAGATAGACATCAGGTGCTCTGTCACCGCCTCAGGTCTCTGCTCAACTATCACTTGCTCTGTGAGGCCTTTCCAGTTTCCTTATATGAAGTGACCCCTCATTCTCTATTGTAATATCCTCTTTATTTCCTTCCTAGCACTGTTTATAAGTCTGTACTTATTTTTTTTTTACTATTTATTTATTTTTGCCTGGCACTGGAATTTGAACTCAGGGCCTCATATTTGTTAGGAAGGAGTGCTACCATTTAAGGCACACCTCCAGCCCTTTTTGCTTTAGTTATTTTTTTAGATAGGGTCTAATATTTTTGCCCTGGCCCACCTGGACCAGCCTCCCTTGTAGCTGGGATGACAGGCACGCACCACCACAACCAGCTTCTTTGTTGAGATGGGGGTCTCACTAACATTTTACCCAGGCTGGCCTTGCAATCTCCACACCCCTCATAGCTGGGATTATAGGGATAAACCACCAAGTTCAACCTGTGCTTACTTTTGTGTTCATTTGAAATGTTCTCCTGGTGTGTAGCACAATGCCTGGTACATGGTAGATTCTTAGTAAATGTTTAGCTGAATGAATGAATGGAAGTTAAGGATGCATTCAGGGGAGCAATTGGTTTCCAGGACTCAACTTCTCCTTGAAGACTATGGCACAATGCTTGCAAAAACCTGGAGTGGGAGGTAAGCGAGGTGGTAGTGGTAGGTGTGTATGTGTGTGCAAGATTGGGTGCTGGCCTCAGGGACCCTGTACCTCCCAGTGCCTAGTCTGGTGTCTGGCTAGGACAGAGGTAGCTCTAGGCTAGGCTCTAACCAAGGAGAAAACAGGCTGTGCCAGAGGCACTGGCCAGGAATGAAAGGGGTAGAGCAGAGGGCATGTGGATGGGAACTACTGACTCTGTCTGGGGATGGGAAGGCCAAGGATTTGCTCTATAGGTGAGGACAGTAGAGATGTGCCTTGAAGAATGAGTAGTTTTCTGGGTGAGGGAAAAAAAAAGGTCTTTTGAGCTTGAAGAGTCAGATGGTTCAGAGAATGGTGAACCATCTAATGTAAAAGAAGAGGTGAGACAAAGCAGAGATACCTTAAATGGTAGGCCAGTGTTTTGGGGCCATGAAAGGGTACAGCCAAGGGAGTGACAGACTCTAGAAAGGCTTAGGTGGCAGAACCCTACACAGGGTGACAGGTAGGATGGGACTGTTGGGTGAGGGGAAGAGGATGATGGCCAAGTCTTGGTTCCAAAGCCATTGAGGTAGGATTTGGGGGAGGGGGCAGGTTTGGGGACAACAATGAGAGTTGATGGTCTATGGCGCTGAGTGGGGAATCCTGAATTTGGCTCCTCATCCTGGAGAGGCGTGTCTCCTCTCAGGACTGGAGCCCTGAGTCACAATGACCTTGTCCCACAGAGCCCTTGTCACAAGTTTTTCATGGTTCACTACACATAAGTCCAGTTAGGGCCACTGGGCAGAAGAGGTAGGGTAGAAACTAGGCATTGAAGCCAGGAATCGGCACCCCTGCCTCCTACTCAGCTCCCACCCAGAGGCTCAGGCAGGGGCAGCTCTGGTTGCTGCAGCCCTGCAGGATGGAACTACTCATCTTCAGGAAGCCAGTGGTACCAGGGTAGCATTGTTCCAGTGGGTAGTCCCTGCAGGAGCAGGTGTGGGTAGGGTGCAGAGTATCAGCGGATGAGGAGAGGGGGGCTGTGCCCTGGGCTCTGGGATTTTTCCACTCTCTCCTGTACCTAATGGCTTCTCTGGCTGCCAGTCATTCCCTCCATTTGGCCTATGACCAGGCGGGGCAGGACCAAGTCTATGGGTGAGGCGGAGTGGGGAGAGAAGCGAAGACTCTTTCACCACCCCACCCTATTCAGGCTTGGCCGTGGGGAGTGTGAGTCTCAGTAAGCAAGTGTGTGTGTGTGCTCATGTGTGAGTATGTGACTGTGTGCATGGGCCGCACGCAGTGCCAGAGGGTAGGTGGGATCTCAATGCTCAAAGTCTAACCCCTCACAAAACTGAAGGGAGCAAGGGCCAGGGAGGAGGGTCCCAGGTCACACTCAGGACTAGGGCTCTAGCTCTCTCCTGGCTTCACTTCTCTGAGGTATCTGCCCACTACCTTGAGCTTTGCTCCTTTGGGGCAGGGAGCAGATGGCTGGAAGGAACCCTTGGAAGAACTCCTCAGAACAAATTTAACCAAGAGCACCAGATCTAGGAGAAGAAAGTAGAAATGAAAGTTTACAAGATGACAAACACAATACCTGAATAAAAGCATAAGTACAGAACGTGGTCCTTTGGAAGAAAGGACTTTATGTCAGTTAACTCTCTAGATTTGGGGAAACCCCAGTCATGGTTCAAAGACATGTGTTTTTTCCAGAGCCTGGTATCCTGGATCTAAACCAACAATTGGAAATGCTCAAGAATAGCCTTGACATGCTTGCAAGAACAAGGAGAGAGATGAGCTATTAAACTCTAAGACGGTCATAATTAAAACAGTGTGATGTTGCCACAGGAACAGCAGATCAGAGGAATACAATCCAGTAGCAAAGATCTGTACAAGATTATGAAAAGCTCCTATCACTCTTTAATAAGAAGTTAAATAAACCTTGGAAAATGGGTGAAAGGTTTAAGGTTTATTCATACAAGAACTACTCTTAGAGTGAGGGCCATTCTGTTCTGTGCTGTTTCTCAATGGTGGGTATGTATGCAGCAAGTACTCTGTAAATGTTGTTGCATGACTGAACAAAATCACTAGGAATCAGAGAAATGCAAAATAAATACATAGCTACATGCTATGTTTTACTTATCAGATAAAAAAGTGAAAATATCAGTGTTGGCAAGAGCTAAAGGAAATGGGTACATCTGTATGCCATGGTTAGAATGAGAATTGATAACAGCCCTTTGTGGTTTGTGATAGGACAAAATTGAACATAGCACAAATGTACATTACTCAGGTTCACTAAATAAAGGTTTAAAAAGTCAGTTTCTTAAGCAGCGCAAGCAAACTAGAAGTGTGGGTGTTCCATCAGACCAAGAATCCAGGACAGGACACGGCTGGGAACTGAGCCTATACTGGTGTGTGTAACCAAAAGGGAGAAAGGGCCAAGGCAGACCCACCGTGGGAACTGCAGTACCTCACAGGAGGGATGGAATTTCAATCTCTCTCTCTCTTCTGGAATTTCTCTTGACTTTGGAGATAGGGCAAGGCGTCTTGGAGGGGAGAGGAACGCAGCCCTAGACAAATGCTCTTTTCTTTCAAAACCTTCCTTCTCTCCCTAGAAAAATCAAGCACGCCCCCTACTGGGGAAGAGAAAAATAGGCAAAGCAAAAAGGGTCTCTGAGGGGAACTGGGGGTGAGGAGGGGGAAAAAACCCAGAGGACAGATTACCAGGTAGCAGGTAACACCCTTGGCAGCCACTAGGGGGCGCCTCTGCTTGCTCGAGCAGAGGACAACCACATCCAGCCTTCACTGTCCTTGCTTACCTTGGCTCACACTGCTTCTTGCCTTATAGAGCTCTTGCCTCCCTCATCTTAGTTCTCACTTGACATTTTCCCTGACCCTATCTAGGTTAGACCCCTTCTGCAACCTCACCTCTGAATTAATAAAGCTGCCCCTTGTAACTCAGGTCTGCCACCCACCCAGGCTATGGACTCACTGAGGGCAGCCTGGCACCTGTCTTGCCCACCACTGCATCCAGTGCCTAGGACATGCCTGGCACCAGAATTGATCTTACAGCGTGCAGTAGTCATGGCCTGCACTGGAGGCTGGCAGGCCAGGGCACTGACTGGTATGAGGCTGAGCAGAGGGTCTTTATTAGAGAGGGAGGGGAAACACATATTTACAGAGACCACGCAGAGACAGTAAATGAAGCAGGTGTGGGAGCAGGCGTCCTGTCCTGGCTCAGACAAGTTCCACTTTGGCGTTAGGGTATACAGCCACCACGTCATAGCCCTCTGGTGGCTTGACACGTGCCTTGGCGTGGTTCTCGCAGTACAGCCGCTCATCCAGGAAGAAGTAGCCACGCTGCTTGAGGTTCAGGCCGCAGTCGCTACACATGAAGCACTCAGGGTGGTAGAGCTTGTCCCGTGCCTTGACAATGGTGCCCCTGTTGAGGGGGAACAGAGAGGGCGGCTTTGGGTAACCGGAGGATTCTTGAGCATATCCCCTTCCAGGGCCCTCGGGAGCATGCCAGGGACACCATGGGGTGAGTACTCACACAATCCCGTGGCCACAGCCTGTGCACTCCGGCAACCCTTGCAAGCCACTCAGTGGAGCACCCAGCTTGCTGGCTGCAGGCTTGAGATTCCGGGGGCCACCAAGACCAGGCCGCTCCCCTGAAACCATGAGTGCAGGTGACATGAGCTGGGTGGGAAAGGTCAGAACTCTGTTTCTGTGGAGTGTTGTTTCTGGGGCCAGAATGTTTGGGCATGGGATAAGGGGCAGAGACAGAGCAGTGGAGTGGGAATCAGAAGGTGAGGGCACAGTGAAGGTGTGAAAACCAGCTATGGAGAAGGCGGAGGGGTGGATGGCTGGGAGCAAGCCAAGGTGTACGTGGAGGACACCATAGGTTGGGAAGGCAGGCAGGGTAAGGTATGGGGAGAGTCTTACCACCCTCGCTGGCTTCTAGCATGCCCTGCAAGTAGCGGAAGGAGCCTGACTGCTTGGGTTCGGTGGCAGATGGCTCAGCTGGCTCCCTTATCATCCTGTACACCTCCGAGCCCAGGTCTACTCTGCAGTCCCGGTTCCTTGGAAGGACCCTGGCTGGATCAGCGCTAGGCAGGAGAAAGAGATAGAGGAGGGCCAGGATGGCAATTCCAGTCTTCACTGATGGCTTGGGGACACGGGGGACTAGTGAGGCTTTATGAATCAGAATGCAACTGAGACCCAAGATCAAGTGTCAGGGGTCAGGATGGACTTGGTGAGATTTGAGGGATCAGGGCTTAGGAAGAGAGCTGGGTCTGGCTTCTGTACTACCTGAGGGGTGGAGACACGTGCAGGTTGCTCATCTGAGTTGGCAGGATGGCCTCACTGTTGCTGCCATTGTGAGGTACAGGAAGGCGAGGTGGCTGCCCATACAGAGATCCCAGGCCTGGTCTGCTATCTTCTGGCCCAATCCCGGTGGCTGAGGGCCGCCTGCTGGTCACTGGACTGCCATCCTGTGAGAGTGAGGCCTAAGGCACCGGGAGACCCTCTGGCCTCTGGCCATTCCTTGTTGACTCTACCTCCAGCCTGTTATGCTAGGCCTCAGGTGTTGCCTAGCTACTTCTGACCTGGCATCTCTTGGCTATGCTGTCCAGTCAGGGAAGGGGTCAATGTGGAGGAGCTCAGCCTGACACCTGGTTCAGCCACTACAGAACTACGAAATGCTGTGGAAAGTCAAGATACAAACATCTGAATACCTGAGACTCAAGCTGTGTTTGTGAGCTCTGTGGTGGTTGTGACCATCAGTGCCTCAGAGAGATTGTGTTGAGGCCGACCCATTGCAAGAGCCTTTTAAGGCCACTGTGGCTGCAGCAGAGTGTGTGGCTTCCGGGCAGACAGAGGTGGTTCTGGTGCTGAATATTCCCACCTGCCAGAACTGTGCTGGGTAGCAGGTGGGCCCATGGTTGGGAACATAGTAAGGTAACTTGTCCTGCAGCCAGGAAGGGTACTCAGTAGTTGTGTGCAAGCCCTCCAGAGGGTGGTCTGAGGCTGGAGAGTGCTGACATGAGATCATCCCATCTGAGCTTCTATCTGCACCCCATTTCCTGCTCCCTTGACTACAAGAGGTATCCTTCTTTAGGCAGAGCAGATGAGGGACAGAGTCTGAGCAGGCTCAAGACTCCCTATCTCACTACCCCAAGGCCAGCCTAGTGTCCATGACTGGAACAGCAGGAGGAGGAGTGCCCTGAGCATGGTCCTTATGCTGTGAGGACAGGGTAGCATCTCTGTTGGGTGGGTCTGAGTTGGACCTGGGGGTCTGTGTCCCTCCCTGCAGAGTCCAGAAGTATGCTGGCCTCAGCTTGCAGGCACACATGCACAACCCCAGCCAAGATGAACATGAGCAAGCATACTTTCACAAGCACATTTAAAGCCATCACATGCATACAGATGATATATACTCACCAGCCATACACCCAGTCACACACACACACACACACACGCACACACATGCACACACACGTACATATAATTGCAACCAGCACAGGTCCCCTGGGGAAGGCCACAGTGGCTAAAACTGGGCTGGCAGTCAGAGCACCCTGATTTTAAGGTGAGGCTCAAGTCCAGGCCATGACATAGGTCTCAGCCTCAGCCTGGGAGATGATACGTAAACCTCACTGCTCTGCAGTGTGGACAAGGACACCTACCCTATGAGGAAAGAGCCTGATGGGACCTAGGCAGCCTCTAGCAGTGGGGCACGGTTGAGCCTGCCAGGTTCTGCCCTGACTACCCCTGTTCTCTGGAGGGCAGGAGCAGTTGGGGCCCTCATTTCTCCCACCAACAAAGGGGAGAGTCTTGCTGCCTGGCAGGGGCCCATCAATGCAGCAGCAGCAAGACCCCTTCCCCATCAGGCCCAACAAAAGCCCTTGAGAAACCTGAGCACTCTCACACATGTCTGCTGGGCAGGCAGGCAGGCAGGGCTGGCTTCTAATGGGGACCAGATGGGTTGTGGTTGGTGGGGGTGGGGCTGGGCCTTGGGCAGAGGCTTCAATGGGAAGGGGAAGTGGGAGTCAAGGAACCATAGCCTAGGAGGATGGAGGCTCTCACTCACTCCCACCCAGCAGGGTGTGGGAGTCTACTGCAGGGTCACCAGAGAGCCATTGCCCCTCCCCTGGCCACCCATGCAGCAGCTTCTCTAGGTCTGAACTCAGTGGTGACCTCTGTTTTGTGAGTCTTAGCTCTATCGCACACTAACTTGGCAAGTCACTTCACTTCTTTGAACCTCAGTTTCTTCATCCGTGAACTGGGAAATACGATGGTTTGTATAGCCTGGTTTCTTATGGGGATGAAGTAAGACATATGTGCCTGGGACATGGTGCCTGGGACACGACAAATGCTCTTTAGCTGAATGGCTGTCATAGTAATTCCTAAGCCTCTGTTCCTGAACTTCCCCTCTGTGCATTCTCCTCAGACCATGTGCTCCCTGCTCTCAGGACCATCAGCCTGTGCTGATTTGGTTGCTGAAGGCTCAGGGAGTTTTCAGCAGAATGGAGGTAACTGCCTGCTTGCTCAACAGCACCCACATGACTAAAGACAGATTCTGGGATACTTGAACTGAACGGAGGTGAATCCTACACCCAGATCCAGATGGGCAGGTGGTCCTTCCCAAGGCTGAGTTTCAGCTCTGCTGAGCTGGAGGGGACAGGCTGGGTATGCAAGGACCACCCACTCCAACTGGCTTGCTTCTACCCATCTCTGGCTTCAATGCCACACCCTCCAGGAAAGCTTGCTTTGTCACTACACTTCTTCCATCTTGGATAGCCCAAGTGGCCCTGTTTCCACATGGGGTCTGAGAGACAAGGGCTTCCTATGGCTTTACAGGGAAGGTGGGCCTGAAGCTGCAGCTGCCTTATCCTGTCCCATTTGAGGACACCTGCCAGGGGTAAATTATGCTGATCCTGGGGCTAATTGTGGTTTCCTTCTCTTTTGGTGGCTCAGCTAGCCCCACCCCCACAGGCAAAGGGTGGGAGCAGTGTGGGTACAATGAGCCCTGTGTCTATTTAGTGAGGACACAGCTCTGCAAGGGCTGGATAGGGGTGTTTTTGTCACCACCCATGGAGCTTATGACCTTTAAGTACAAAAGGGGGGCAGCAGCTGAGGGGCTGCCCTGTTGCTTGTGGAAAATCCCTTCCTCTCCAACTAGAGCACACATAGCCACCTCTTCCAAAAAATCAGTTGGGGTAGGAGAGGGCTGCTCTACAGCCCCCAGAACCAACAAAACATGGCTGAGCTTCACGTTCCAAAGAGTGGAAAGGCCCATTCTTTCCATCCCAGCACTGCCACTTCTGAGGGGAATTCAGCCTCACATGTACTGCAGGTCTGCACTATCTGCTCCCTTCTATCTGGCTCAACTCAAGCTTGGCTGGTTTGTCTATAACAAATCTGCCACCTGCCCCTGTTCTTAAGGCCTTGGATCCATGGGGCAACATGAGACACAGATGTGGCCATGAATCCCTAAGGAACCTAGGAGCCCTACATGACCCAGCTCTACCATCTCATCCCTGGCACCTGCCCTCCCACCCCTCCCACCTGTCATCCTTCCCATGGACCTTTCTGTTCTCTGAACTAATGGTGCAACAGTCTCACCTCTGGACCTCTGCATGTGTTTTCCAAGGACACTTTTTCTCTCCACAACCCTCTGCCTGCCTTATTCTTCCCAGGCCTTCAGGTCTGGGCTTGGATACTCCTCCAAGAACCCAATCTCACCCCTGGCTCAGTCACATGCCTACTATGGCCTCCTTTGGCTTACCTATCCCAGGACTCTATGTGTCTCTGCTCTGCCAGGACAGGCACTTCACAGCATGGTAAACATCTGTCTTGAGGGATGCCAGTGGAGGCAAGGTAGGGAACAAATGTCAGAGCAAGATAAGAAATGTTGGCGAGGAAGGGACCAGGAAAGATTTTTTTCCTGGTTTGCAAAGGTCTCCTCTCACTGCCCTGGTCCCTTTTTTCCCATGTAGAAAATGGACAAAAGCAAGCCCAAGAGGCCATAGTCTCACATGCTGGGACCCATGGTTCTGGCTACATCACAGATCAGTCCGGTCACTGCCTTGCCCAAACTCCATGGCCTAGGGATACTAAGCTGACTCTGGATACTTCAGTCTTATCCACTTGGCTACCCCTATGCCATACCTAAAATGAGGTCCTACAGCAGCGTGGCTCCTTTGAGGACAAGGCAATAGCTGTGATTTCTGTCCTACACAAAAAGGAGACTGAACAGATAGGCCTGCAGCCTGAGGTCTGCGAGTTGCAATAACAGGATGACCAAGAGAGAAGTTCATCTTTGGATAGGGCACCTAAGGCTAGGATGAGACAGAGGAGTGTTCCATAGCCTAAGATCACCGCCCAAGATCATTGCCATGCCACCCTCTACCCAATCTATTGTCTTATTCCTCATCCAGCATCGCTGGGTACCACAGTGAACTCTAACTTGGTGGGTGGAAAACTCAGGCCAAGACCTGGACCAGCTTTTGTCACAAGTACCTTTGTTATAACCCGGGACTGTCTAGAGTACAGACAGAGACCCCAGCAGATGCTCATCACCTAATCAATACAGGATGGGGTGTGGTCATGGACCAGAGAAGCTTTCTGCTTCAGTCTCTGTCCTGGGCACATGAAAGCCACAGTGAGGACAGCCATTGCAGGTGAACCTGTGGATCATGCCTAGATCCTCTTCCCTGGGTTTACTTTGAGCCAGGACAGACAGTGTGGTATCTGTACGTACCTGGGCTTCAAGGTCGATGTGGATCCTGTGTGCTTGAGCCTTGTCGTCAGGGGCACTAGGCCAGCTCTTGCTTTCAGGCCTGTAGCAGGAATTGGGATGGTCAGACATATTTGCTACCATGCCCACATTTATGGGAACCAGGGCCAAGAAGGGCCAGGCTCTGGGCTCAGAGCCATTCAGGACCAGGCCCATGCACGGCAGGGAGAAGGACACCACCCCAACGCTTTCCCCTGTACTATAAGTGGTGTTTGCTATGCCAGGGAGCCACAAGCCTAAGTTGGTCACCCTCCTGGAGCAGTGCTATGTGCTCCCTTCCACTCCAGTGGCCCTATCCCTCTCCAGTCTTAGTTTCTGGAGAGGCTGCAGGAGAGGCCCTGTAGCTTCCTCACTCTTCTACTCTCTCTGCAGCCTTCATAAGTTTCACTCAAGGAAGCTCAGCTAGAGGCAGGGCAAGCCAGGCCTTACATGTGGATCAGCCAGGAGCCCATCTGCTCATCCCTTGGCCATCTACAGCCTCAGGATGGGGCTTGGGGTCAGCTGTTGGGGAGGTGAAATGGAGGCTCTGAGGGCAGCACCTCCCCTCCTGCTGCCGACACCCGCAACCCGCCCAGCAGAATCATCACCGATGATGTCTGCCCAGCCCAGATGGGAAACAGGCCATTAGGAAATTCCTGCTTCGTCATAGAAACCAAAAGCCAAACACCACTCAGGAGGGAAAAAAACATCGTAAACCTGCCATAAGCAGGGCAGACAGGCCTAGAAGCTGCGGGCCTGGGGCCCAGCCCTGCCAATCAGTAGCTCGGTGAGAAGACAAGACAGAAGGGTGCATGGACCCTGGACTGACAAGTGGTATGAAGCAAGGCTGGTTAGACTAAAGGGAAACAATGTTCCCCAACCAAAAGGCCTTCCAGGGTTTCTGGAGGTCTCATGACTGGCCTAGCAGCTCAGTCCTGCCTCTCTCCCTTTGTTGGCTAAGGGATTTAATAATCTGTCAGCAGCTCCATGCTTTCTTGCCTCTCCCCATTCCTTGGCCCTTTGCAGGCTATCTTTCTACCCCACAGCCTTCCAGGAGCCCTTGGCAGGAAGGCTGGGCTGCCCCAGGGCAACCCCTCTGCAAAGCATCTGTCTGTAGCCCCTTCCACTAGGCTCCCAGATGACCACCTAACTCACAGCTCTAACTGTAACTTCTACCTAGTCAGACTCCATAGAACAAACCTAGGACATCTTGTGTGGCTATTTTGCCTTGTACTTCCCCAAAGTTCTGTTCAGAACGGTAGTGTAAGCCTAAGGGTCTAAGAGTACAAAGTGCCTGAGCCATAAGACTAGCTCAAGGCATCAGGTAAGAATAAAGGACTTAGTCCTGTGTTAATTCCCATCCTGGGCCTCCTCTTCAGGCTGGGCAGGTGCTCTGTCTGCCCATCTTTATTTTATTTTGGTGGTACTGGAGTTTGAATGCAGAGCCTCACACTTGCTAGGCAGGCATTCTACCACTTGAGCCATTCCAGCCCTTTTTTTGGGAGTTTTGTATTTTGGAGATAGGGTCTCTAGTACTGCTTGTCTGGACTGGCCTCAAATCAATATTCTCATGATCTCTGCTTCCTGAGTAGCTAGAATTAAAGGTGTGAGCCATGGGTGCCTGGTTGCAATCTGCCCATCTTTAAACAAAATGAGAAGCAAAGGTCGGGATGTGAAAAGGTAACTTGGACCACCTGTGATGGGCAATACTGACTCCATCAGTGGCAGGGTTGGAGTTGATGCTAGCAGGCTTTGAACCTGTAGAACAGCCCAAAGCGTATAGGTTGGCCTGAATTGTTGGATGCCTGGCTTTGGCTCCAGGTAAAAATTAACCTAGCAGGAAAGCAGAGCCTTTGCTATACTTTTCACTCTGTGGAGAAGTCTATGAGTAATCAGAGTCCTAGGTACATAGAAAGCAGGCAGGGAAGATGGTTTGGATAGAACACAGAGTGGCTCACTGGGCCCAACTCACTAGGCTGACCTTCTGCAGAGCCCATGTTGTGGGTGGAAGGGGTATCTGGGGCCCAAGCATAGGTCTGCTAGGGCAGGCAGGATAGGGAGCAGGGACAGGGACCTTGTATGTGGGAAGGTATTGGGCCAGAGAGTCAAGGGGGACCCTGTGTCTCATCCCTCAGAGTCTGGTATGTGAGGGTTGGAGACAGGCGCAGGAGGCAAGTCTCAGGTTTTCACCCTGATTGAGCAGGCCTGGTACCTTCTCACCACTCAAAGCCTAGATCACAAGTCCATCCCCCTTCTGGAACTGAAGGAGGTCAGGCCCAGAGAATAAAGTACTTGCCAGAGGACACCATTGTCCACAATAAAGAGGGAACCTGGAACCCAGCTCTGTGGTGTAAATGATATGCTCCCATTTGTTCCACAGCCAGGTGGCATTCTGAGACTGCACTCAGAGCACAGCAGGTCAGTGGCCCTCTGGCTCCATCTATGCCTGGCTCGGAACAAATGACCAGGAAAGAAAGGAAGGAAGGGGGGTCCTCCCCCCCTCCCCCCCATCACCCTCCCTGACATCATTCTCTCTGGGAATCTCCTGACTCAGGCCCCTGTGAGCCTCCCCCAGTTCCACCACCACCACCAGGGCTGCCCTTTTTCAGCTAGACAGCAAAGCCAGAGGTGAGTCAGGGCCCAGGAACCCAGCCAAGCAGGGAGGCCTTAGAGGCCACTCATGGGCAGAGCAGTGCTGATGCTTCCCTCAGCCAGCAGTGCCTCAGTCTGGCAAAGGGTGATGAATGTGATTCCTTTTTATGGGAACGGAAACCCAGGATCATGGAGGTCATCTAGGTACCTAAATCCCAAAATCTAGATGAGAACCAGCTCTGCTGAACTCCCAGGCTAGGGTGTCCTCTTCACATGCCACGTGGAGTATACGAGGCCCTGGACTTGCATCTGGGCCCACCCAGTGCCAAGGTCGAATCAGGGGTCTTGACCCCAACCTGGACATGTTCATGGGTCAATCACAAACAGGCGCTTCTTTATAAAACTTCTCACCATGTTTAAAAGCCCCAAGCCAATGGATCCCCTCCCGCCCTCCCTGCCAGCTCCAAAGCATGATTAGCTGTGTTGTGGTCTGGGGAAGTTTCACCCACACACTTCCACAGAGTGTCGTGGAAAGTCCCTGCTAGTGTGAACGTGGCAGAGCTGAGCAGTTATGTCTGACTTTTCCAGATCCAGGAGGGGCCGGGGTGTGGGGAGATCCCATTCAGTTAGGATTAGGCCAACTGCCTGTCGGTGCTAACTAAAGAACTAGGACCTGAGCAAGGCAGAGAGGGGGACTGGACCTCTCGTTCTAGTACCATTTACAGGGCAAGGATGGGGCTTGCCCTTCACGATGGGCCACACAGCATTACACAGTCCACAGCAGGAAGTTTGTTCTAAATCCAGATTTAACTAGAGCAGGGGCATGGGCCATAGTGGGAACAGCTGAAGGAGGGAAGCTGTGTGGCTGGTTGGAACGGATGGCAGCCAAGAAGAGGAACTGGAGTCTTCAGGAGAGAGAGACTGGAGGTCTAATTTTGCTTCCCCATTGCCTCCTCTAACCCTCTAACTTTTCTGAGCCTCAGCTGTCTCTTTTGTAAAGTGGGGCTTACACTAAGTTTTACCTTTTAAGTTGGTTTGAGGGTAAACGAGATGTTGTTGCTTTGAAATGATCATCAAGCTGTTCCCTTAGGGGAGGGAAGAGGACTGCAGTAAATGTCCCAGAAGTGACTCAAGGTCTTATTTCCACTGTCTGCAATGCCTGCCTTCAGTGTCCCAGTGTAGTTCTAGTCTTAAATTGAAAGGCACTTGTTCCCTATTAAGCCTCCCCAACTTTAAACAGTGCCCTCCAGGCCTCATGAACATACTGCTCCCTAGGACTGGGCCTGGATGGGGCACCCAGGAGCTGAAGTAGAGAGGCTGTGTGAAGCCCAGTATATCAGCTACCCAGACTGCCCCTACCCTTTCATCCTATCCTCCCAGTCCAGCCTCCCTGTGTACCTGCTCACTAAGAGCGTGAGGTGATCATGGCAGCCTTTGATGCGGTTCTGTGCCTCCAGGTGTGTCATGAACTCTGTACTTTCACCATTGATGGCCTGGATCAGGTCTCCTGGGCACAGGGCAGCCAGTGCGGCCTTGCTGCCAGCATGGACCTGTGGGTGGACAAGTCAGATGGTTTGCACAGGCATTATGTGGTCTTCTGCTCTAGACCTCCAACCTCAGAACCTGTCCAGTATGGCCTTGCTGCCAGTGTGACCTGTGGGTGGGCAAGCCAAGAGGCTGGGTGAGGTCCCCATGTGACCTGGTTGCAGTCTCTGCTTACAAAAACTTCAATTCGTGGGCTGGCAGAGTGGCTCAAGTGGTCGAGTGCCTGCTTAGCAAGCATGAGGCCCCCTGAGTTCAAACCGCAGTTACCTCCAAATAAACAATTCTAGCACCCAGAGGCCTGGTGGGGTGTGGCTGGGGGCAAGCAGGATGTTGTTTCATCAACACACATACAGACCCAAAGACATGCAAAGGACAGGGAATACACAGGTACATACATGCTCACATACATACAGACCATGGACATGTCACCAAAACTTCACATGGACAATGCCCACTCAGCCAGACTGCATAGAAGCCCCTTGACCCCATTTGGTCTCACCTCTCACTCCCACTGCACAATCACCTCTTCTGCGCCACACTGTGCCCAGCCCACTCAAACACCTGTTGGGGATTCATAGGCACTCGATGCTGTTCCCTCTATCTAGAACACTTTTTTTGGGGGGGGTGAAGATACTGGGGTTTGAACTCGGGGCCTGGAGCTTGGTAGGCAGGCACTCTACCACTTGAGCCAGATACCCAGCCCTTCTGCTTTAGTTACTTTTGGGATAGGATCTCAAATTTTTTGACCACGCTGACCTCGGACCGCAATTCTTCTACCTAGGTCTCCCTACATAACTGGGATCAGAGGTCCACATGCCACCATGCCCAGCTTGTTGGTTGAGATGGGGATCTTGCTAACTTTTTCCCGGGATGGCCTCAAACCAAGATCCTCCTCATCTCCACCTCCCAAGTAGATGAGTTTACAAGTGTGAGCCACTGTGCCCAGCCTTTCACCCCAAACACTCTTTCCTTTGATTCCCAAATCCTATTCACTAGCTCACTTCTCCTCCTCCTTAAGGTCTCAACACACAGGTCACTTTCTCTGGGAGTACTCTGCGTGCCACCATTACCATATTTGCCCGTTACAATTAAAATGGGGCGGTCTGTACATGGCCTCTTCAGCCAAGTCCAGGACCATTCAGTCCAGAGTCAGCCTGCACTATGGAGAACAATTCTATCTTCATTTCCTCTGAGGGCATCTCAGCACTACTATTGACCCCACAGGGTCAAGAAGTGTTCCCATTTGTAAACTCTTACAATACTAGTCATCGAACAGGCCACGTGAGAAGGTGTGGGGACAGAATCACAGACAGAGAGACCTAAGTAAGCAATCCAGAGGAATTCAGGCAACAGGGCACCCTTCACTCCATCTCAGCTCCACACAGCCTTTGGAAACAGACTTCAGGCACCTTCATTCTCACTCAGCCTCTCCAGCTAGTGCCTAGAGGTGGCTAAAGAGCTGCCAGTGACCTTGCTCCTATTAGTGGGGATGCGGGCTTCTGAAAACCCAGCCAGGTTCAGAATAGTCAGTTCCCAGTAGTAAGCAGACAAGGCTAAGGTGCTGGAAGCCCTTGGCTAGAGGTCTGGTATGGGCACTGCCCAAGCTGACCTGCCCTGAAAGAGGCTGCGTCAAGGAATGTTCTTTATTGACACATGACACCCCAAACAGCCCACCACTTATGTTCACCTGTAGGGCCTGGGCACCTGCACAAGCCTGTCCTCCTGGGGCAGGTGCCCACTTGGCACCACCTCATCCCATTATCCTCTCAAAGCCTTTTCTAAGCTCCCTACCCTTCATGGATATCTGTTCTGTGCCAGTGCTTTACCCATAACTAGTTCATAGCAACCTCTCAATCACCAGGTAAAGCCATGACTGTTCTCATCCCCCATCCACAGATGAAGAAAGAAGAGCTTGGGAGCAGGGGTGCCTTGCTGCAGTTCTCCACTGGAGAGGAGTCTTTTTCCTCAGGGGGCAGCTAGCTGCAAGATGACTAAGCTAGCACAAGGGGTACATTCAGGTCCCTGTGGGTGGAGGAAGTTCTCGAAAGCAGGGGTGGCTGGGATGCTGCCAGCTCCATTAAATGAAGGGAGTTCTGGTCAGAGAGGGCATGAAGCCAGGAAACCATGACTCTCTCAGCTGCTTTTACATGAATTGTCTCAGTAATTCTCAAGACAAGCCCATTTCCTAGATGAGGAAACTGAGGTCCAGAAAAGTACAAAGAAATGCTTAATTGATAAATAGCTGAACCAGAATTCCAATCCAGGCCAACTGATTACAAATTAAAGACTATTTTCTTTCTTTTTTTTTTTTTTTTTTTGTGAGAATGAGAGTGCGGTTTAAACTCAGGCTATCACACTTGCTAAGCAGGCACTCTAAAACTTGAACCATTCTGCCAGCCCCCTCCAGTCCATTTTGTTCTGGTTATTGTGGAGATGGTGGACTCATGAACTATTTGCCTGGGCTGGCCTTGAACCTTGATCCTTCCGATCTCAGCCTCCCAAGTAGCTAGGATTATAGGAGTGAGCCACTGGCACCCAGCTCTGAAACTTATGTTCTTAACCATTACACTTTTTCTGCAAAAAGTGAGGGAGGAAGAGATAAGCGATCTAGGTAGAAGGACCAGCATATATAATGCTCTTCTAAAAGGAAGCAGGTTTGTATAGATGGAGCATCATTATTGAGGGGAGAGTGAAAGAAAAGAGGCAGGGACCAGATTTTGACAAGCCTTGTAGATCCAGGTGAAAAGATGGCATTTCTTCTGAGGATTGGGAACCATAGAGGATTTAGGCAGGGAAGACAGAACAGAATTCAGGTCAATCTGTCTAGAGATGGGATAAAACAACCAGAGTGCAGGATAAACAGAAAAAAGGGTGACAGGAGCAGTGAGGTCAGGTGGGAAGCTGGGTGTGAATCAGCCCCCTTACCTGTAGTGGCTGCATTCCAGCCCCTGCCCCACCCAGCCCAGATGCTGGTGGGCTGGAAGCCACAGAAGGCCATATTGTCCCAGAAAGTCACAGCAACCTCTAGACAGACTTGGACTCCTGACCCCACTCTGCTTCTCTGGGTACATTACTTTAACCTCTTCAGTGTCCCCATCTACAATGGGAGGCCAGAGAAAGCACTTACTTCCAAGGGCTGTTGTGAGGACTACCTGAGACAATCGGGGCATGTGACATCTCCACAGGAGACAGGGCATACAGTGGTGGTTGATGGGGAGGTGCTGGGACCAACGCCCATTAGGGTGGGGCCTAGCACACTGTGGATGCTTGGAAAAGGCCAGCACTCATTATTCCTTGTCTGTGGGAAAGGAGCAGTTGACAATGCTATTGGGGATCCCTGAGGTTTTCTGGGCCAAGACTGCAAACCCCTAGACCCACCAGATAGTTCGCTTCTGTCTGCATGAGGGTGTCCCTTCCACCTGGGCTCTGAGTGGGGCCCTGTGAAGCACAGGAAGGGTTAGATCTTTAACCACTTTGGTGAGGACACTCCCACATATCAGTCCCAGTAGTCTTGCCCCTGAGGTACCTGCTAGGCAAGCTGTGGCCTGTGCCTCCCCAGCTCTGTAAATATTCCCAGATCCCACCCAAACCCAGGCTCAGTCATCCTGGCTCCTTGGGCCTGAGCTGCCGCCCTGTGTGACTTTGAGGAATTGGGGGTGCGGGGGCGGGGGGCAGTTCTTTCAGGCAAACCCTTCTCCCAGACTGCCTGCCTGTCACAGACCTGCATCCTGATCAGCGCCAAACAAGGCCGCTGCTGCTGCCGTTATGACGTGTGGAGGTCTTTCCTCCACAGGCAGGCAGCCGCGTGGGCAACAGATGTCTCAGCTCCCTGCCGCCTGTGGCCGTCAGCCACCACCACTGAGCCTGTCAGCGGCCTCACGCCCAGGGTGCCTGGCCTCCTGGCTGGCCTATCACCCCCCAACCAGCCCTCCTTTGTGGACACACATGCCACCCACCAGGCAGACACAGACACGTGCACATGCACACGCCCGGCAGGATTTCTCAAGGAAACGGGAGATGAAAGACTCTAGGGTATGTTGAAGGCCCACCTCAATCAACCCTAGGAACCTGGCAGTGAGGACAGATGTGGGAAGTCTCCTAGGACAGCTGGCCCTGCCTATCACCCTGGTCCCCAGAAAGAAAATTCCATGATTCCATGCTCCACCCAGTGCCCACCCCTCCCAAGAACTGGAAAGAAGCTTCTGGAACTTGACCTAGTCCCCAGGGTGAGAGGGGACAGCAGAATGGGTGAAGGTGGCTCTCAGTTCCTCTGACACAAGTCCCCAAAGACCCAAGCAAACTCTGTGAGGGCAAGGGATGGTTCTCAGATGGTCCCAGGTCCCTCTAGACTGGGAGCCACCGAGGGCAGGGCCCAGGTTCTCTCCTCTTCTGTCTCCTTGGCTCGGGACCCCCAAGAGTCCCCTCTGCCCCCTAGGCTAGTGTCCTATCTCCTACACCCTGCAATAAGGGCCTGATGGTCCTCCCTGGCTCCTCTGTCCACAGGCTAGCCACCTCTCCAGGCATTCTTCCTTCTCCTTTGTCCCAGGCTGGGGCAAGCCATGGTCTTGGAACCCTTGAAGAAAGGTGGGGGGTTGAGGGGGAAGCTGAGGTAGTCCTGGTCCCTGGCCTTGTGTTGGCTTGTAGGGAGGCCTCACACCTCATAGTCAAGTTTTCCTTTCCCTAGAAGCCAAAAATTCCTACTGGTCACTTCCTTTTAGGGTTACTGAAGTCACAGAAGAGAGACTAGGGAAGTGGATGGACTTAGAGAGGTCTGGGGTCCCCCAATCCTGCTGGCAGGGACCCTTGATAGGAGAAGGGGCTCTCGGTCACTTTGCCCCAAATCTTTAGGTAAGGTTGGGTCTAAGGAGAGTTTCTGGGCCTCCGTAGCGCTATCCAAACTCCTGGCCCGTTTCTGCGGGGTCCTCTCCCAGCCCAGTGTTTCCCCCTAAAGGAGGCCAGTGGGAGGGTGGGTGTGCGAACTCTTGGGGGAGACTCTCCACCCAATAATAGGGCAGGCAGGCCCGGCGGGAAGGGGGGTGGGGCGGCGCTGCCCTGCTGAAAGCCACCTCTACAGCTCGGGGTCACCCAGGCCAACCCTCCACTTTCAAGCGTCGGACACGTCGGGGATCTGGGTCCCGGGTGGACTGCAAGGACTAGGTCTCTGACCCGGGACCGCCCGGCTGGCCCGCGGCCGTCGGACTCACCCGCGAGATGGTGAGGGGCGCGCTGAAGTCCCGGCCGCCCACCAGGCGGAAGCCCCAGGGCGAAGGGCCGCGCAGGGTCACGGAGTGGGGCATCGCGGGCCGGAGCCGCAGCCGGAGCCTGAGCCGGACACTGAGGAGCCGTCGCCGCCGCCTGGCCGCCGCCGCCGCCTGGCCGCTGCGCCCCGCCCCCGGCCCGCCCGCCCCCCAACCCCCCTCCCCGGCCCCCGCCCCCGCTGCCTGCGCGCCGGGATTGGCCCGGCGGCCGTCCGACCCTCCCACTCCGGGGGGCTCTGAGGACCCGCCTCTCTGTCTGGCAGCCTGCAGCCCGGCACCCCCACGCACTTCTCAGAGACCCCCCGGATCCGGACGGCCCCGACGTCCCGGATCCTGCCCGGGACCTTGGATCTGCGGGCCGCGGACCCGAGCTGGCCGCGGAAGCTCAGGCACAGGCCCTTTGAAGTCGCTTTTACAGGGCTGGCGCCCCAGCCAGAGAAAGGGTGGGGGGCGGGCGGGGCAGTCCAGATGGGGGATGGGGCCGCGCCTTGCTCCCAAACCTCCTCAAGATACTGGCAGGTCAACCTGCAGCCCCACCTCTGAGTGTGTGGAGTCCTCTGAACGCGGAGTACCGCTCTCAAAACCCTGGGCTGGAGCTGGCCTGGGCCAGGAACCGACCCAGGACAACAAGCAGGCAGCGGGCCTCTTATAATGGTAGAAGCAGAAAGGCGCCCAAACTAGTCTGGGGAGGCAGGCTGGGAGACTGCCTGGAGGAAGTCACCTTTGACTTGAGTCTAGAAGCAATGTGCTTTGTCTTTCTAGCTGTCCCTGCTTTCCTGGGACACTCAGGTCTTCTCTTGTTGTCAGTTCCTTCCAGGCCATCTTGTCCACACAGCCCCCTCCCCTCTGCAAGGCTTCTTGGAAAAGAAAGCGGCTGGAGTGGTGGCTATATTGCTGTGGGGGGAGTGGAAGTATATGCAGCCCTTCACCTGGGACCCTTTTCTCCTCCAGGTCTTCTCCATGCCCAATCTTTGTTCTCTAGGAATGACCTTGAATAGCCTCTGCAGGTGCCACGGCTCAGGCATGGTCAGAGCCCTGCCTACCTCTCCTGGGTCACCTCAGTCTGACTACGTTAGACACCATTTGCTTCTCCACCATTAGGAGGCTCCTAGGTTAGCCAGTATTTTTGACAACCCTGTGTGCCCTCCTGTCCTAGCTCTGGTAAGGACCCCACACTCAGGATGCTCACAGGTTGTAAGGGGAGTTAGGTCCACTAGTTCTCTAACACTCTCCAAAGAAGAGGACTGTTTGAGAAGTACAAACAGGGTAGTCCAAGAAAGAGTGGAATCTGTGAGTCTCTCTGGGAAGCAGTGTAGCTGCTATCTGTTCTTCTGTGAAAGGCACAACATGAATGGTTGTGTATGGATGGATTTGGGGGTTGTGTTGTGTATGTGCGAGTACATCTAGATCATCAGACCACCGACCACTGGGCTCTCAGTACTGCTTGGTGGACTTTGCTCAGCCCATGTACAAATGGGCCCCTTGTGGACAGAGGTGGAAGGGCCAGCAGAAAAGTGTGGTCCATAGACCAGAAGTTCCCCAGGACTTAGACCCATTAAGTGGAGTGAAAGGGGAATAGCCACCTCTTACCATAGTCTGTCCTGAGGGTTGAGTGTAAGTATAGCCTGTGGTCATAGACCCCCTCATCTGGACTTTTTATTTTGTTTTTGTTTTTTTTTTTGAGACAGAGTCTTACTATGTAGCCCAGGCTGGCCTTGAACTTATGATCCTCTTTTTATTATTATTATTATTATTATTTCTTTTATTCATATGTGCATACAATGTTTGGGTCATTTCTCCCCCATTCCCCCCACCCCTACCCCCCCTCTCTCCCCTCCTACCCCCTCGCTACCAGGCAGAAACTATTTTGCCCTTATCTCTAATTTTGTTGAAGAGAGAGTATAAGCAATAACAGGAAGGACCAAGGGTTTTTGCTAGTTGAGATAAGGATAGCTACACAGGGAGTTGACTCGCACTGCTTTCCTGTACATATGTGTTACATTCTAAATTCTTCTCGAACTAACCTTTTCTCTAGTTCCTGGTCCCCTTCTCCTATTGGCCTCTGTCACTTTAAAGTTTCTGCATTAGTTCCTTTGCATTGAGGACATCAAATGCTATCTTTTTTTTTTTTTTTTTTTTTTTTGGTTTCTTGCCTGTCCTCATACCTCCCTGTGTGCTCTTGCCTCATCATGTGATCAAAGTCCAATCCCCTTGTTGTGTTTGCCCTTGATCTAAAGTCCACATAACAGGGAGAACATACGATTTTTGGTCTTCTGGGCTGGCTAATCTCACTCAGGATGATGTTCTCCAGTTCCATCCATTTACCTGCAAATGATAAGATTTCATTCTTCTTCATGGCTGAGTAGTATCCATTGTGTATAAATACCACATTTTCTTAATCCATTCATTAGTAGTGGGGCATCTTGGCTGTTTCCATAACTTGGCTATTGTGAATAGTGCCGCAATAAACATGGGTGTGCAGGTGCCTCTGGAGTAACCTGTGTCACAGTCTTTTGGGTATATCCCCAAGAGTGGTATTGCTGGATCAAATGGTAGACCAATGTTTAGCTTTTTAAGTAGCCTCCAAATTTTTTTCCAGAGTGGTTGTACTAGTTTGCATTCCCACCAACAGTGTAAGAGGGTTCCTTTTTCCCCCGCATCCTCGCCAACACCTGTTGTTAGTGGGGTTGCTAATGATGGCTATTCTAACAGGGGTGAGGTGGAATCTTAGTGTGGTTTTGATTTGCATTTCCTTAATGGCTGGAGATGGTGAGCATTTTTTCATGTGTTTTTTGGCCATTTGAATTTCTTCTTTTGAGAAAGTTCTGTTTAGTTCACTTGCCCATTTCTTTATTGGTTCATTCATTTTGGGAGAATTTAGTTTTTTGAATTCCCTATATAGTCTGGTCATTAGTCCTTTGTCTGATGTGTAGGTGGCAAATATTTTCTCCCACTCTAGGGGTGGTCTCTTCAGTTTAGAGACCATTTCTTTTGTTGAGCAGAAGCTTTTTAGTTTTATGAAGTCCCATTTATCTATGCTCTCTCTTAGTTGCTGAGCTGCTGGGGTTCCACTGAGAAAGTCCTTACCTATACCTATTAGTTTCAAAGTATTTCCTACTCTTTCCTGTACCAACTTTAGAGTTTGGGGTCTGATATTAAGGTCTTTGATCCATTTTGAGTTAATATTGGTATAAGGTGATATACATGGATCTAGTTTCAGTTTTTTGCAGACTGCTAGCAGTTTTTGTTGAAGAGGCTGTCTTTTCTCCATTGTATATTTTTAGAGCCTTTGTCAAAGATCAGTTGGTTATAGTTGTATGGATTCATATCTGGGTCCTCTATTCTGTTCCACTGGTCTTCATGTCTGTTTTTGTGCCAGTACCATGCTGTTTTTATTGTTATTGCTTTGTAATATAGTTTGAAGTCAGGTATTGTGATACCTCCAGCATTGTTCTTTTGACTAAGTATTGCTTGGCTATTTGTGGCCTCTTGTGTTTCCATATAAATTTAACAGTAGATTTTTCAATCTCTTTCATGAATGTCATTGGAATTTTGATGGGAATTGCATGAAACATGTAGATTACTTTTGGGAGTATCGACATTTTTACTATGTTGATTCTACCAATCCATGAGCATGGGAGATCTCTCCACTTTCTATAGTCTTCCTCAATCTCTTTCTTCAGAAGTGTATAGTTTTCCTTGTAGAGGTCTTTCACATCTTTTGTTAGGTTTACCCTAGGTATTTGATTTTTTTTTTTTGAGGCTATTGTAAATGGAATTGTTTTCATATATTCTTTCTCAGTTTGTTCATTATTTAACTTATGATCCTCTTGCTTCAGCTTCCTGAGTGCTGGGATTGCAGGCATGTATCACCACAGTCCCCTCATCTGGATTCTTAAAAGCCACAGTGAATGTAAATAGTGCAGTGCTTTGCGGGGGCAGGTGTGGGTTCCACCTACTGCATCCCACAACCCATTCTGGAACTTCTCCTCAAATGTTGCTTGCTATCCCAATTTACACATCCCTAGGGCCTGCCATCTCCCATCCTGAAACCCCTTCTACTTGTTTACTTCTGTCTGGGGGAGTATGTCACCTCCTTCTAGAAGTGGACCTCCTGAATATGACATTCCTGGCCCCTCAGCCTCTGGGCAGTGTAATCCATCTCCAAAAGCTTCTCTCATAAAGTTGGAGATGAGGATGATGGGGGAAAGGGGAGACCTAGAATCTGGTATGTATACTTCCCCTTGTCACTGTGCAAGGTCTGGGCAGCTCGCAGGATGTCCGGGTCCATGTCAGCTATCCACTTGAGCTCTTGGTGACAGCTGTGACTTAAGAGAACATCAGAGGCCCACTTCTGAAAGTACCCTCCTACAGGAGAGGGGCCTGGGCCAGGCTGTGCTCCTGGAGGCTGCTGATCATCCTTCTTAGGGGCCACACTGTGGGTCTACTTCTGAGGTACCCTGAGGTAAAGACAGTAGGTTTTTATTTGTTTCATGCCCTCTGGCTCCAAGTCTTCTCCAAAACTCCCTCCAGGAAGCCCACAGGCCCCTTTAATGGCCTTGGTCCTGGAGGAAAGCTGTGTTATTGAGTCCCAATTGTACTAGGGTACCAAATCATAGGACAGTCTCAGCAGCTGGGAGCCCTCCTTAATTTGGGGCTGCGTGGTAGCGGGTTGTGACTCGCCTCTGTCCTACTGGCCTTCATGTGTTTGCAGCACGCCCCATCGGGCATCTGTGCTGCTGAATATAATCAAGATGCTCATTTTGTGCATTCTTCATTCATTCAGCAAATGTGTACTGAGTGAGCACTCCATATGCCAAGAACTGTGCCTGCCCAGGGCTGGGGTTGAGGCATTCATGAGGGCAGGGGCTGTGTCTTTATTATTTATTTATGTTTTCCCAGCAACCAGCAGAAAACCTGGCTATTAACATTTGCTATCAACAATGTCAGAACTGTTGTCTTAGCTCAGTCCTTGGCCGTGAGCCAGGGAGAGGTAGAGAGGGCTTAGAAGGTTGAAAACTTCTGTTCCCGCCGCCTTGGAGGCTGCACTTAATGGCCCTCCCCTTCATGGGAGCCCCAAGGAGTTCAGGCCATGATACCCAGGCTCTCTGTGTGTGGCCAGG